CATTACATGAGTGCTGAATTATTTACATTATGGACACATCCGGCCAAATAGAAGCTCTCACCATGGATAAACTGTAGGAAAAAAAGCTGCTGGGCTTCCGTGTGGCATACATATTGTTTTTTAATAATTTGAAAATACGGAGCCCCTAAAAATCCATGGTGGTGGAATTTTTTTTTGCGTTCCCTCGCAAAACTTTTCCATTCTCTCGCAAAGATATTTGCGTTCCCTCGCAAAACTTTTGCGTTCCCTCGCAAAACCATTTTTCGGACAAACACTTCCTGTTTACTTTACAGCTTGTAAGTTAGTGGTTCATACAGCTCGTACGTTCATAATGGAGCGGTTCATAGAGTTTTATTTTAAACTTGGACTCAAGTTCAAATACAGTCAGCTTTGCTTGTAGTTTAAGGCACGGTTTTGGGACATTCTAAAACACTTAATGTGGCTTAATGTAGGCTACTATAGCCTAACAGTAACACTGGAGGCCCAATTCGGTATTAGGCCTAATAATTATTATTAATACTAATAACAATTGTAATATAAATGACCTCATTAATAGCATTACTATCAGTAAAGCAGATAGCCATAATGCAACGTTTCTCCCCCATTTAAAACCGTTAGGCTATAGAAAACGCTTAAGGGAGGCTAATGGATGAAGACGGTATAGGTTAAAACCAAAATATGGTACACAGTTTATTAATAAAATATAGCATATTATGCACAGGAAAGCAGACAAGCCCAGAATAGCTATAAAGAAGCCAAAACATAATTTAAAGCGAAACTGAAGTATGGGCTCACGTACCGCTCTCATTCAGCACAAATCCAAATGTTTCCATATTCGCAATGTATTTGAAGCTAAACCATTATTTATTAAATTAAATTAACTGGGCTTTGTACGTTCCAATATTGAAGGGAAAAAAAATCATAATGAACAAAAATGTGCAGCACTGGAGTGGACCGGGGTTCTATGGCGGACGAAACCTGCAAAAACAATAAATAAATAAATACACAAATAAATAAATAAATGTGTGCATAAATACACGTATTCTTGTTTAAATGCATAAATAAATAACTATACATGTGATGAAAGTAGGCAAATAAATAATATAAATTGGTGGGCAAATGGAAAATGTTTAAGGAAATGCTAAACTCATCCTAAATATTTTCCTTTGATCACTGCATTTCCTGTCAGCGGGAAAGCCGCGCCCCCAGCTATGACATGACCCCGACCAAGTTCATGGTTGACACCTTCTCATTAGCATGTTGTGCAGAGGAAAAATAAATGTGGAACTCATTCAGAAATAAATGAGTGATCAAAGGAAAATAAATAGGATGAGTTTAGCATTTCCTTAAACATTTTCCATT